GCCCAGCCTGACCTCGTTTCTAGGGATGACTGCTCACCCCCTTTCCAGAGTCAGCCTCAGCTTCCATCTGAGATGGGAGGGGTGGCAATGGCTGTGTGTCTGTCTGGGACGAGGGTGACCTAGGGCCTGGTGTGCAAGTTTTTGCAACCTACCACCCTTGAGGCCCTGAATTCTGCCATTAGCCGTAAAGTCCTTGGTAGAGTCCATGGACAGGTTCGAAGCCTGACTGAGCCACTCACTGTCTATAATCTAGGGTCAGCCCCTTGTCCTCTCTGGGGGTTGGCCTCCCCGTCTGTACAATTAAGTGGCCAGAATCCATGATGTCTCGTCTCAGGTCCTTCTTCCTTCAACCTGGTAGGATTCTAGAATTCAGAGCGTTCCCCCATCACAAAACAGATACTTTGGGGAGGTCGCCCTGGAAGCCATTTGGAATTCTTCCCCTCAGCCACCTCTCCTTCCTCAGATTAGCCTGCCAGATGCCCTGGGAGCTGACACGGAAGATGATGCTTTAAATACTTGAAGGGCTGTCATTGTTAAGAGAAGGGAATGAGCTTCCTGACACTGAAGGTATGTAAGTGGGTACTGAGTACTAGTTGGTAAGGACCCAAGCATTGGAGGAGAGGGCCGTTGGATTTTCTGTATTTCCTTCCAATACTGGAGTCTGACATACTCTGGGTCTGGAAAAGGCAGGGAATAGGCAGGCCCAAATGGGACCAAACATGTCTTTTTTTTTTGAGTCAGAGTCTCAATGTTACCCAGGCTGGAGTGTAGTGGCATGTTCACGGCCACTGGGTTCAGGTGATCTTTCTGCCTCAGCCTTCCAAATAGCTGGAATCATTATCTTTTTAAATATAAAAGCTAGATACTTTAAAAATTCTACTATTAAGCTAGGCATGGTGGCTCATGCCTATAATCCCAGCACTTTGAGAGGCCGAGGTAAGAGGATTGCCTGAGCCTATAGGTTCGAGACAAGCCCTGGCAACTTAGTGAGAACTCATCTCTACAATAAAAAAAAAAAAAATTAGCCAGGCATAGTGGCGCATGCCTGTAGTTCCAGCTACTTGGAAGGCTGAGGTGGGATTGCCTGAGCCCAGCAGGTCGAGGCTGGGGTGGCTGGGAGCATGCCATTGTCCTCCAGCTTGAGTGACAGAGTGAGAATCAAACTCAAAAATAAATAAATAAATAAAAATTATACTACTTCTTGGAGGTATTTTAGAACTTAATACCTACATATTTTATTTATTTATTTATTTATTTATTTATGTTTGAGTTGGAGTCTCACTCTGTCGCCCAGACTGGAGTGCAGTGGTCGCTCCCAGCCACCGCAGCTTTGACCTGCTGGGCTCCGGCGATCCTTCCGCCTCAGCCTTCCGAGTAGCCGGAATTACAGGCACATGCCACCACGCCCGGCTAATTTTTTTTTTTAATTTATTGTAGAGACAAGGTCTTGCCAGATTGCTCAGGCTGGTCTCGAACCCGTGAGCTCAGGTAATCCTCTTGCCTCTGACTCCCAAAGTGCTGGGATCACAGGCGTGAGCTACCACGTCTGGCCAAACCCGACTCTTTAAACAGTCAGTCAGTCAAATTGGTGTAAAATGGGAGGAGTCTATGGGAGGGGCTCTCAGACCAGGTGGGGGCCTCTCGGGGAAGGCTAATATTTGGTCGGAGAGCCGGAGTTATTCAGGCTGAAAAGGGCAGGCAAGGGCATTTCAGGCAGGAGCAGCCACATGGCCAAGTGAGAAACAGTTTCTGCATTCGTGGGACTACAGCTCTCTGGGCATAGCTGGAATGAAGCTGGGGTGTTTGGGAATAAGTGGTGAGAGGCGGGGCCGGAGGGGTGGCAGGGGCCAGGTCATGCTCCATGCTGGGTGCTAAGCTGGGGAGTTTGAACTTGATCCTGAGGGTAACAGGGAGCCAGGGCAGCCTCCGGCAGGAGAGGTGTGGGCAGAATTGTGTTTTAGAAAGCTATTCTGCGTGCAGAGTAGACAGCAGAAGGCAGAAGGGAGGAGGCAGTGATTGGAACCAGGTCAGAAGGGAAAAAGTGTCAGGGAGGGGGACAAGGCAGAATCAGGTGATCAGGTAGATGAGATAGAAACACTGGTCCCTACTGAAACACAGGCTCTCTGAAGCAGGGCTTTTATCCCCTGCTGAATCCTAGCACCCAAAACAGGGCTGGCAAACACTTAGACCTCCTTAAGAAGTATTTATTGAACAAATGCTTTTGAGTGAGATTGAATGAAGAACTCAGGCATCAGGTGGGAGGAGACGGAGTGCTCCAAGACTATGCGAAGGAAGGAAGCCCTTGGATGGAGGAATCACGGGGGGGGGGAGGGGGGGGCACGGAGGAGCCAGATGGGGCAGGGCCAAGGCTGAGTGCAAGGATGTTTATTACCACCTCGTAATAAACAGTGTTGGATGAGAAATAAATGACCCAAATGTCCAACTACAGAGGATGCTGATTGGTTTACGGAGCATGTATGCTGTGCAGAGTTGAAAGAGTGGATGAGTTGGGTGGCTGTAGTGTAGGATGGAAGGATGTCCCTGATATTTTGTGAGTGCATGTGCCAGATGAGGGGCATGTGGACCTGGATCTGGGAGAGGCTTGGGTGGTTAGGGGTGGGGACAGGAGTTGTTACAGAACATATGGCAGCCGGAGCCAGGGACAGGGGTGACATCACCAGGAAACTGCTGAACCCAGGACTGCAGCCATGCTTGGAGACAGGTGCAGGGGGGTGGCTGGGGGCAGGTATGCCACCCGGGGCACCCCAGTTGAGTCAGCTGAGCTTCCCGATCCCTGGGGTCATCTCCTGTCATCTAACCCAGCGGAAGTGCTCTGATTCTAAATTCTGGGATTCTCAGACCCTGAGCACGCCGGTACCCAGCCCTTTTCCTGGAGTCATACACTGTTGGCAAATGCCGAGCAGGGTTCAGTGGCCTCATGGTGCCCTCCCTACCCCTGATCTGCCACTCCCCAAAATTTCTCACTCTGGCCCAGATCATTTTCTCTTGGGAACTCAGGTGTCCTGCCCCCCCGACACACACACTTGGAAAAGTCTGGGAGTCAAAATAGATCAGGGAGGGGGATGGCCTGAGTGCCCTGGGTCTGGGCACCAGCTGCCCATTGGCCTCTCTCTACCTCCCCCAAGGTGCTGCCTCAGCAGAAAGTGGCCATCTGGCCGGAGAGTCAGGTTACGGCGTAAGGGGACCCGGGGCGCCCCTCCTCCCAGGCCTTGTGGCTTTTTCAGCAGACTCAGGGCCCCCAAGATGGGAAGGGGTATCTTGGGGGAGAGGGGATGTAGGGCGAGGGGCAAAGATCCTCAGGCTGGAGTGTCCTGGTTTCTGAGGGTGTGTGACTTGGGGTTTATCTCTGTCCCTTTCTGGGCCTCAGTTGCCGCATGAGAGAGTGACTCTGGACCCCACCCTGGAGAGAATACAGAGGAGAGGGTGGGGTGGTGTCTGAGACGGCCCCCCTCACGCGCACACTCATAAGCCCACTCGTTGCCTGGCTGCAAGCCCTCAGGGTGGGTTTTGGGAATATTTAATCAGAGAGTGGTGGGGAGAAGGAGTATTCTCCCTGAATCCCCCCAGTCTTGGGTCTCCTGTGCTTTGCCCAACCCATTGCACCAGCAGAAGTGGGGCAGTGGGCCCAGGGGAATGAACCTTGGGAGGTGGAGACCCCCAAACTCTCCTTGTCATCCTAGACCTGTCGTTAGGGCTCCCAGCCTTCTCCCCAAGCCTGGGGGGAACAGCAGAGGGATAGACAGAGCCTGGGCTGGGGATCGGCACTCTAGGTTAAAGGCAGGCTCTGCCCCAGACCTGCTGAGATGCCCGGGACAAACCTCCTGGCCTCTCAGGCCTCAGTTTTGCTGTCAGGAAATGGGTGAGCACTCACTTTCCGCTGCTGCTTCTCCCAGGCCGGGTCCAGCAGCAGGTCGCGGTCCCAATCTTCCTCCTGTTCCATGTACTCGCCGCCCCCGCCGCCGACCGCGAAGGGCCCCACCCCGGCCCCCAGACCCTCGGGCTGCAAAACCATCATCATCTCGTTCAGGCTCCTGGCTCCGCTCGGCGCGTTCTGGGACACCCCGGCCCAGTTAAGTAGGGCCCAGCCCAGCCCCGGATCGAATTCGCTCTAAATATGGGGGAGGAGGGAGGGGCCGGATAGGGGCGAGGGAGCTCGGGGTCCGGACTCGGCGAGAGGTTGCCCTGGGGCTAGGGACTGCGAAATTGAGGGGCTCTGGAGGGGTAGATCTCACGGCGGGGATCCGGGGTTCGCGCTCGGGTCCCGCCTCTTGCGCGCTGTGTGACTTCGGGAAAGCCCTCTCTGAGTCTCTTTCCTCCTCTATACGATGGAGACGACGATAACAATAGGGGGCGGAGGCCGCCCTTTGGCTCTCCTGACCCTCTTCCAGCTCCTCGCTGGTGGGAAAAGGAGCCCTGTCCCCATTTCACAGTCAGAAACGCGGAGGCGCCGAGCTGTTTTGAATGTTTTCTGGGGTGATGAAGGGAGACACCCGAGCATGAGGAATGGCTCTGAGCCAGCTGGATGGGCCGAGGCAGGGTTATTAATACCGGGGCGGCTGCGGGGCGAGTGGGGAGAATGTGCTGAGCCGGGAAACCCCGACGCCACTGAGGCTGCAACTCAATCCCGCAGGCGCGCCGGCCA